AAAGGGTTTACTCAGCTTACAATTCCAGGTCACAGCTCACTGTTGCAGGGAAGTCAAAGCAGCCAGTCACATCCAGGGCCAAAGGTAGAGAGAGAATAAGTGGATGTTCCTTGTATTCAACTACCTCCTATACTCATATAGTCCAGGATCCCCTATCTAGGGAATGATGCCACCCACGGTGGGCTGGATCTTACTACATCAGTTAACAGGGTGAAAACAAACACTCACTCCTCCTCCCCAGGCACGCCCACAAACCAGCCTGATCTAGAACCCTCTCCCCCATCTTCTCAGGTGATTCACTGGATCAACTGATTCTCTGAATCAGCTGTATCAAGTTGAGAACTGAATACACCACAGTGGTCTTGAAATACTGATTCACTGCTTTTTTCTTTTGGGGCAGTTCCTCCCTATATATCCCAGGCAGGCCTTGAACTTGCAATCTTGGATTGCAGGCCTCTGCTAAGACAAGTGATGGTGCTAACTGTCCACTTGATAGGATCTAGAATTGCCTGGGAGATGGGCCTTGGAGTCCGGTTGTGGGGGATCATCTTAATTACATTTAATTGTGGGCCAGACCATTCCCAGGGCTTGAAGTCCCAGGCTGAAAACAAAAACAAGGAAAGGGAGTTGAGCACCAGAAGATGTGTCTGTCTGTCTGTCTGTCTGCTTCTTGACCAAGGTGTGATGTAATCCTCAAGCCCCTGTGGCCAGGGTTTCCCACCATGATGCACTCTAATCTGGGGCTGTGAGCCAAATAACACTTCTCTCCTTTGTCTGACTATTTTACCACAGCCACAGGAAGACACCAAGACACCACCCTGGCATTGAAAGACCAACACACGAAACATGGAAACAGCATTCCCCAAAATGGACTGACTCAAGTCTCAACAGAAGTGGACAGGACAGGCCTAAGACATTTTGTCGTGCTAGATGGCGGGGAAGTGGTGGGCTTACATCAGCCAGAAGGAGTCAGAAACTAACCAGGGTCAAAGGTTGAGTGATTCCCATGGCAACAAAAGCAACAACCACAATGCCAGGAGAGAAGGCACTGCCTTCAATCCCAGCACCGAGAGACAGGAAGGAGGATCTGAGTTTGAGGCCAGTCTGGCCTGCAGCAATGAACTTAAATGTGTCAAATCCATTTAAGCTGTTCATTTAGACCTATGTGAAAAAATTAAAAGATTATTAATTGATAACAAGAGTTCCAATAAAACAGTACACTTTTGTAAAAGATCAAACACAAACAAGAACAAAAACTGTTTATAAATGAGAGAATGAAGCATCCCCTTTGTCTTTTATTTTGAGATAAAGCCTCACTATGTCTCAACCTCCCCAGGGTGGGATTATGGGTATGCACCACAGCCTGCTCTTCTGCCTGTTATTGTCACTTTTAAAAAGTTACTTATTATTATTATTGTCCATGTATGTGGTGTGTGTGTGTGTGTGTGTGTGTGTGTGTGTGTGTGTGTGTGTGTGTGTGTGTGTGTGTGTGTGGTCTCTACCTCCCTGTGGGTCCCAGGAGTTGAACTCAGGACGTCCGAGCTCACACAGCCACCACTCTAACCACTGAGCCATCTCACCTGCCCGCATCGCCTGCTTTTCTGAGCAGGCCCTATCCCACAGAGGTGACTGCATTTGTTTCCTCAGCCCCAACTGACTTGAGAACAAACTTTTGCTTCCTACAGAAGAAGGCCTCTGGGATCCCACCCCCACCTGTGAAGTGATCTCAAGCCAGATGTGCGAAGCCTCCATAGTTAGGTCACTTTAAGAAGTATTGGGGGGGGGGGGCTGGCAGGGCTGGAGAGCACATTGGGGGCATGAGTCAGCTCTGCACTGTAGGAAACTCTACAGGCTAAACCATCTGGTTTCCTTAGCGGATAAAGCACGGGGGGGGGGGGTGGAGAGTAGAGGGAACTAGAGACTAAAATAGGCAGAGATGTTGTGCTGACTAGTTTGTATCCCCATTTTCTTAGAACTATAAAATGTGTATGGCACTGTGGGGGCTGGGGGATGGCTCTGTCCTTGTGAATTAGGGCCCGAGCTCCAACGCCTACACAAAGAGCAGGTGTAAACCCTGCACGCCTTTCCCATTGTTTCATAAGACGCATGGTGAGGGACACACGGAACACAACGTGGGTGCATAGGTCTTGACTGCAAAACTCATAGAATAACTACATTTAAAAGGGCTAATATGCTAAAAATATCTTCTGTCCTCACACTCTTAGGTCAGAAGGGATGCATCATTAAGCATGTTGCTGTCCACTGTACATAAAAGTATGTAACATAACTCTTTAATCATTAAAGTAAGATGCAATCGTGAGGCCCAGGCTTGACGGTGTTCATTTATAATCCCAGCTCTGGGTGGGTAGGCTAGATGACTCCCTGGGGCTCATGACCAGACCATGTAACCCAAATAATGAATTTCATGTCAGGTGAGAGACCCTGCCTCAAAAGAGAAGGTGGATAGTCTCTGAGGAAAGACACTTTTAGCCTGCACACACACACACACACACACACACACACACACACACACACACACACACACTCCTGTGCAGTGACTCAGGGCTACTCCATGCATTAGAACTATGCTGGGCTATGTGTCCTGTTATGTGGCACTGTCTTTTACTCCCCAGGAGTTCCCACCTCCAGGTCACATCACAGGAGGAATGAACAGCCACAATCATGAGAACAGAGAGAGAACTATGCCGGAACCTAAGCCATATAATGCACCTGCAGGCTCTTCCTCAGGACCTCTGGCTTCCCTGAGCTCCATCCCTGACTCACAGCCATCTTTGTGCACATGCGGGACCCTGTGCCTGGACCATCCTTCATGGGGACCCCCACCTGTAGACCCCTGTCATCTAGACCTCTAGGAAATGCCAGGTCTGTCCCCCTGGATGGTCAGGAGTTCAAGACTAGACTGCATGGACGTGTGTGCACTGGGGGCACTCAGGTCTGCAGAGGAGGAGGTCTGAGGGCAAACAAAAGTGGCTCTCCCCCCCACCCCCGCCTCACCCCCAGCTGAGCAAAACAGCTGCCATCTTTATCAGATAGGCTTTGTCTGCTTGTAGAATCCATCATGACTGGGCTTGGGGGTTGCTGACATCTTCATAGAAGGAGAGGATGGGAAGGGTCGATGGAGGCTCACCGGAGTAGCCGGCCACTCCTCCAAGCCACCTGTGTGCAGTTCTGCCCTAACTGCACGAGTCTTGGGGAGGTATTATAGTGTACAGGTTGAGGAAAGTCGACTGGGGGGGGTGTCCACCCATGTGACCACAGGGAAGCCATCATCCATACTATATAGAGACTTTCCAGTGCAGCTGCTTCAGGGACAACATGCTCCTGCCAACACCCTCACCTCGCTCACGCTCTGTAAGCAAGCCTAATACTCATCAGCTGAAGAGATGGTCCTGTGGTTAAGAGCACTTGCTGTTCTTGTAGAGGACCCAGGTTCAGTTCCCAACACCCATCCTAGAGGCTCACAAGTGCTCATATCATGAACTCCTTCCCTGGCCTTGGAGGGCACCTGCACACGCACACACACACACACGCGCACACGCACACACACACCATCGACTTTGGTGCTGGTTACTTTTCTGTTGTTATGAGACATCATGAGCAAGGCAACTTAAAGAAGAGTTTATTTGGGCCTCGCACTTCGGAGGGTTAGAGCCCATGACCGTCATGGTGGGGAGCATGAAAGCAGGTAGGCATGGCGCTGGCGCAGTAGCCGAGAGCTCACATCTTGAGATGCACCAGGAAGCAGAAAGAATTCACTGGGAATGGCATGGGCTTTTGAAACCTTCAAGCCTGCCAGTGGCACCTCTGCCAGCAAGGCCACACCTCCTCATCCTTCCCAAACAATTCCACCAACTGGAGACTAAATATTTAACTATATGAGCTTGTGAGTATGGATGGAATAAGAATGTCACCGTAGGCTCATAGAGTTGAATGCTTAGTCACCGGGGAGTGGCACTATTTGAAAGGATTAGGAGGATTAGGAGGTGGGATATGGGTGGAGAAGTGTGTCACTTGGGGTAAGCTTTGAGATCTCAAAAGCCCATGCCAAGCCCAGTCTGTCTGTCTGTCAGCTCTCTCTCTCTCTTTCTCTCTCTGTCTCTCTTATCTCTGTCTGTCTCTCTGCCTACAGGTCAGGATGCAACTCTGAGCTATTGCTCTAGTGTCTACCTGCATACGGCCATGATTCCCGCCATGATAATGGACTACACTGAAGCAGTAAGCAGGTCCTCACTTAAACGCTTTTTCTTACAGTAGTTGAGTTGGTCATGGTGCCTCTTCCTAGCAATGGACACTAACTGAAACGGGGCTGCTCTCTCCAAACCACCTCAGTTCCCAGGGTGGATTTAGATGGAATCTTACTTTGGTTTGTCCTTGATGAGGCAGGGATACATGTTTACATTTCTCCCAGGGATTCCTAAAACATACTCAGAGCGTGACCATTTCCCCACCCCCGGGAATAATAGACACAGTGGCCCTTACTGAGGGTAATAGACACGGTTTACCCTTGCTGAAGGTAATAGACGACACAGTAACCCTTGCTGAGGGCTTCTGTGCATCTGGACCCTTGATTGTAAGAAAGCCCCGGATAAACTTGCTTATCACCAATTGTCCCATTTTACAGATGCACAAAATGAGGCACAGCAGGTTGGAGGCCTTAGCATACACCAAGCAAGCAGGAAGTCTGGCTCTGATCTATGTCCTTAGCTTCTGCCTTACCCATTAGGGACATGAGCAGGAACTGGTGACATGCCAGCCTCGTAAGAAGCAACTGTCCTCTAGGAGGGGTGGGACCGGTGGGGATGGCAGACACCCTGGCTTCAGTGTGAGGATAGCAACCTCTGGATGAGGTTCTGCAAAGGAGATGGGACAATGTAAAAGCCTGTCTGGTGACTGCCACCCTGGCCAGCATCGCAGGGGGCCTCACTGCGGAGACCTCCTTCCCTTCCTCCCTCATGCCTTTGAATCATAGTGCCTACCCTAGTCCTGACTGTTGCTCAATCCAAGAGCACAGTTCCTGTGGGCTGCGCCTGACTGGCTTGGCCCTCTCTTTTCTGCACTTCGAGGGAAAGAAGAGATCTTGCACAAGGGACTTCCCCTCGTCTGTCCGTCTGTCCGTCCTCTCCGGCTGGCTGAGGAAGGGCGCCATGGGGCCTCTCCACCTGTTTCTCCTGCTGCTGATCACAGGTGGGACCTGCTCTCTACAATGCCTCCTTGAGCACGTGACCGGGTGGGGTGCGGCTGTTACGGAGGGAACTGGAGTCCTGCATGCTCAAGTGTCCTGCTTAGCTCTGCTTTCCTCCCTACCGGTCCATGTTCTTCACGCCATCCTCCCCAGGATTAACCCCCATGTGTAGGGAGGGTTAAGGGGCTGCTGGACTTGGCCACTGAAGGAGTTGTAAGGGAGGCCAGCTGTAGAATTGCTAAGAGCCCTTAAACACTCAAGAAGCCCGTAAGTCTAAGTGGAGTGGCAGAATGCGGGAGAAGGAAGGAAGGAGAGACTCGGGTTGGGGTTTGCATCCTCCTGAAGCCCCTCCCATATTTTACCTCAGCCCTTGGTAGGAGGTGAGGATGCTGAAGGCATCCTCACTTGTGATAGGCTGCCTCCTCCCACTGCGGGCTGGGTGCCTCCTGCAGCTGAGGAGCCCTGTACAAACTCAGGAGAGAGAAGAGGCTGCTCTGGTCTTGTCCCCACAGCACCTGAAAGTGAAGGGAGATGTAAGGTACCTTAGACTGCCTGGAGGCAGAAGGATGGAGGGGCTGATGTGAACACACACATGAGGTCTATTCCAAAAGGCAGGCCACCGGCTCTGTGATCCCACCGTTCATGTGCCCATCTCAGTAATAGCTGGAGACAAGGTGCAGCCCCTCTGCCCCGGCCACAACTTGGCAGGTTCTCAAATGCTACCAACCCTACCCCAAGAGGATCCCCAAAATAGCAGCCTCGTGTCTCCCCCAAAATAGCTTTGAGACAAGTCCTTCCTAAAAGAGGGACAGAGCCGCAGAAATAGGGAAGCTGAGAGTTAAACGGTAGGAAGGGACAGCCACCCAGTATGGATGGCAGAAGAGAGGGCAGCAAGGCAGGGTAAGGGAGACGGCTATCCCAGACCCTTGGGGAACCAGCCGAGCTCCAAGAATCCATGAACCTCGCTCTCCTGAGACGAAGAGCGGAAAAGAGACATCCTGGTCCCATATGACCGGAGGGGAGATGTCCAAAATAGAACCAGAGGGGTTTTAAGAACAAGGCAGGGCTTAGTCAATGGATTGCTTGAATTGACTGCATTTGGGCCTGCGTTTGGACCCACAGAACCCATGAGAAAAGCCAGGTGCAGTGGCATGCACCTGTCTCTCAGGGATGGAGACACAGGAGGCAGAGCGGGTCAGATCCTTACAAGTGCACGGGCCGGCTTGGTCTCTGTTGTGAAGTTCCGAGTTACTGTTGTGTTACTATGATAAAACATCTTACAAAACTGACTCGATGAAAGAAAGGGTTGTTTGGCTTGCAGTGCCAGGGCATACGGTTCATTCTGGAAGGAAGGATATGGTGGCAGGAGCAGGAAGTGGCTGCTACACTGTGTACTTAGTCAAGAAGCTGAGAGATGAGGGTAGCTACCAGGTTCCTTCCCTCCTTTTGCTGTTGTTGGGGACCTTGATGCTGGAATATTCAGGGTGGATCTTCTCACACCAATGAGCTGAATCCAGATACTCTCTGATCAATATTCCCACAGGCTAACTTGATCTATAAAACCCCTCACACACAAGCTCAGAAGTTTGCCCCCTTGATTCTAGAGTCCGTCACTTTGACCATGAACATTACTCTCTTGCACACTGGTAAGATATCCTGTTTCCAACAAAAAGTGGAAGGTATCTGAGGACCAGAGCTTATTCTGATGACCACATGTCCCTGTGTTCCCAGCATCCCTGCACCTGCCTCCAAAGGTATCTGGAAAGCATCCCAGAACCCACCTTCCCCCTAGACACCTTAAGCTCTTTAAGGACAGGATCCTGTCTGCATAGTCTGATGCTCCTGGTAGACAGACACTCAGTGAAGACTTCGTGGGTGGATGAAGTGACAAATGGCAGTCTCCTCTGCAGAGTCTTCCCAAGCCCTCAACACAACAGTGCTTCAGGGTGTGGCTGGCCAGTCGCTGCGGGTGTCATGTACTTATGACTCCTTGAAGTATTGGGGAAGACGAAAGGCCTGGTGTCGCCAGCTGGCTGAGGAGGGCCCTTGCCAGCGTGTGGTGAGCACACACAATGTGTGGCTGTTGGCCTTCCTGAGGAAACGGAACGGGAGCACGGTCATCACGGATGACACCCTGGCTGGAACCCTCACCATCACTCTGCGAAACCTCCAAGCCAGTGACGCGGGCCTCTACCAGTGTCAGAGCCTCCGAGGCCAAGAGGCTGATGTCCTTCAGAAAGTCCTGGTGGAGGTTCTGGCAGGTGAGTACAGTGGCTGCACCTTTGGCTGGTCCTTGGACCAAGTCTCATTGTTGTGTGACTTTTCCTGGGAGACATAAGCAAATGTCTGTCCCCAACTAGCCACTAGCAACAGATCCAAGCAAAGGTTCCACCCAGGTCTAGCTCAGTGAACTAGTAAGTTTACTGGGGCTACTTGTAGGTGCATGGGTGAGGGCTTATTCAGTGAAGCAGCTGCATCACTGAAAAGCCCATCCCTGCATCCCTGGAGCTCCCTGCCTCCCTGGAGCTCCCTGAATCCCTGGAGCTTCCTGAACAACTTGTAGGCAGCTGGTCCTGGTTTGAGTCTCCTCTCCCCATGTCTGTAATGGCTTGGGATATGTGTATAAATCTTGTTAAGTTTCATGAGATTCCTGAGCCTTGTAGTTTCCTTTACTTCCTGAGTTATATGGTCCTCCCCAACAGGCAGTGGCCTAAAGGAACAGTGTTCTCATGGCTTGTCTCTCACAGACCCTCTAGATGACCAAGATGTTGGAGATCTATGGGTCCCCGAGGAATCAGAGAGTTTTGAGAGAGCTCAAGTGGAACACAGCACCTCTAGGTACAGTGATGGTCCCCGTCAGACTTCTGGCAGTGACTGGGGATGGAGGTCCCAGGACCAACATGTTGGTCATTGAAGGCCCAGGTGTGGTCTTGTGTAAGTACCCTCCCACCCACTAGCACAGTGATGTTACTGGGCTTAGAGCTTAAGAAACTGGAGTCCTTTGTGACCATTTCCAAAAGTACCACTCCAAGATTCTGAAAGGGCAGCTCCCACAGCCCCCTGCAGTTCAGCAAGAAGTCTCAGGACTGTAGGTTAAAACCAAGAGCCCTAGGTCTCTGCTTATTCAGAAGAACCAGGACCCATTCTGAATGCTTCAGAAGTGTTCTGCAGCCCCAGAGCATGTGTGCAGGTCCATCCATTCCTATGTGCTAATACAGAACTGTGTTTTACAATCCCTGAGCACGTGTTTTATGTTTTGTGCACTCAGCAGATCCTAAAACTGACTCTGAGCACCACAAAGTCCCTTCCCTGTCACCGAAGCCCCTAGGAACTCCTGGTTCCTCTCTATTCCATCTCCAAGGGTGGGTTTCATCTAGAAGATCACCTCTATTCTGCCATCTTTCTACCTTCTCTATTCTGCTTTCTCTTTCCAAGGAGCCAATCAGGAGACATCTCCTTCCCACCCACTTCCATCCTCCTCTTCCTCCTGGCCTGTGTCCTCTTCAGCAAGCTTCTTACAGCCGGCATCCTCTGGGCTGTGGTCAGGGGTAGGCAGAAGCTGGGGTCACCTGTGGCCAATGGGCTGAACTGCGGCCATGATGCTGGGCACCAGCTTCAGATCCTGACTGGTGAGTGGGACAAACTGGGGATGTTAGGCACGAGCAGGGCAGCAATGGAAGGGACTGGGCCCTGTGTGAGCCAGGCAGGGAAGGAAGGGATTGAGCCCTGTCTGTTGCAGGACCCAGAGATGCTTGAGAGAACTCCACGCTGGAGAAGCCCAGATGAATCCACCCACAGTCATCCAGCTTGCATACTCTCTCCTCTGCCACCAAGACTTCTGCTGCTGCTACTCTGGCTTCAGAGGCCACTTCTGCCTAAAGTGTGCCTCTCCTGGAAGCAATTACATGTGTGTATGTGTGCACTGAGTGTGGAAGAGAGCTGGGAGGTCACCTGTCAACTTCTGGGCTGTGGGCATTAAACCCTCTCACACACTAACTCGGGATTATCCACTCTTTCTAGATGGCCCTGTGACTCACAAAGGTCCTCCACTTCTCGGTGCTGGGACTAAACTCATGCATCTTGTGCATGGTAGGCATGAGCTCACCACTGAGATAATTCCCAGGGCAGGATTATGCATCTGGATGAGAGGCCTGGGGTCCAAAGCCACCGTCTGAGCGCCATTTCTGTTGCTGTGGTTAAATGCTGGCCAAAATCAGTTTAGGGGAGAAAGGGTTGATTTTAGATCATAATCCCAGATTACACCTCATCCCAGAAGGGAAGTTGAGGCAGCAGGAATTTCAAACAGCTCACCACAGCACATCCACAGGCAAGGGCAGACAGGGAATGGATACAGACTTGTGCTCAGCCTCCCTGTTACTGTTACCACTTACACAGTACAGGAGCCCTGCCTAGGGAATGATGCTACCCTCAGTGGGCTGGGTCTTCCCACATCCACCAACATGTAATCTAGACAGCCCCCTCATTATGGCTGTGTGCCAACTCCATCTAGACAACCCCCTCTTTGAGACTAACTTTGCTGGTTCTAGATTGAGTCAACATGACAGTTAAGTACCCATAACATTGCGGGTACCGTGTCTTCCATCTCATTGGCTCCAATCAGATCAATCTTTTCATCCTCGCTTCCCTAAATTTGATCACCCACCATTCTGTGGGATAGCTGGCCATCTTTCTACTCTCCTCTTGTTGTTGCCCTCCCAGCCCCAGGCTCCTTCCTCTCCACTGCCACCTCGGCCACTCGGGGCCGCCCACCCAATGACTCATCCTCTCATCTCCCAGAGCTGGGTTTCCATCTGCAACTTCCCCTCTGGAGGAACGACAAAGGCTGAGCAACAGGGTCTGGGCTGGGAACAGAATCCACACCCCTGGGTGCACTGAGATGATAAGGAGGCCCAGAGACGGAGCCTGGAAGTCCAAGTGTCTCCTGCTGGTGTGTTTGTCAATAAGTGCGCGTTGTTCTGAGCATGATCCGAGCCTCAGTTACAGCGCAGATTCCACATTAGCGGTCTTGTTCTAGGGAGAGGAGGAGCTGGTGAGGTGGCCAAGGGAACGCCTGAAGGAAGCTAGGACATACATTGTGAGCAGAAAGAGAGTGAGGCCAAGGGACCGTCCAGGGCTGTGCCCATCTCTTTAGCATTTCTGCTGCTGTGATAACACATCCTGACCAAAAGCAACAGAGGTAGGAAAGGACTTGTTTAGCTTATTATTTCAAGTCATAGTCCGTCGATTTGGGAAAGTTGAGGCAGACTCAAGCAACTCATCATATTACATCTTCAGTTAAAAGCAGAGGGGAACAAATGCATCCATTCTGCCAGCTTGCTCAGTTAGCTTTCCTCCTCCCAGTCCAGGGAACAATGCTGTCTGAGTTCAGGCTGAATCCTCCCACCTCTGTTAACAGTCAAAACAATCTCCCTAGACATGCCACAGATAGACATGCTCGCAGAACATCCCCAGACATCACCCCATTCATGCCCATAGGTAGACATGCCCCTGGATATGCACCAGACATGCCCACGGACATCCATGCAGACATACCCACAGTCCATCTTCATCTAGACAATCCTTTTGGAATCTCTTCCCAGATGATTCTGGGTTGTGTCAAGTTGACCGTTGAAAGCATCCAACACAAACACACACCCAACACCGTGGATGAGTGGGGTAGGAAGAGAGTAAGGGAGAGTGGGGTAGAAACGCTCTGATGGACCCAGATGGGGAGGGATTAGGCTAGCCACAGACCCAAGCTTTCTACCAGGCCTGAGAAATGGACACCCAGCAGCCCTTGTGGCCGGGATGACATGCGCATGCTTTACCTTCTAACATGAGCTTGCAATAATGGTTAAAGTCCATCATGGTATGTGCTCTCCAGCCTCACTCCACACGGTTCCAACCCCGCCTTGTGCATTCCCACTTAGACCACTTCAATGAGCCTGGCCTGGAGCTCTGAGATTCTGGGTCAGCCTGCTTTTGGGCCTCTCCAACTGCCTCATTGTGTCCTAAAGCCATTGCCTCATCCCCACGATCCAGTCCACAGTCTGGCCAATCCCTTTCCAGCTGCCTGCACCCTGAGCTCCAGGCTCTGAAGTGGGCCTGGGAAGCTCCTGGTGACATGTCCGGCACTGCGGCATAGTGGCCGCTCTCCTCTTGGAGTTTGGTCTTCACTCCTTGCCTGCTCTTTCATGTCTAAGCTGCCCACCCTGGGTTCGAGGGATCATGGAGATGCCTTGCTTTGGGCTGTGGATCACCACGGACAGAACAGTAGATAGATCCCGGGCTTCAGCCTCGGTTCCTCAACCCATGACAGGCTGGCTGATAGTAAAAAGATTAGTCAAGCCATTAGTTAGTCCACCAACCCTCCCCAACTTCACATGGGGCTGGAGAATTGCTGTACTAGTTACTATTATTATGTCACTGTGAGGAAACACCATGACCAAGGCAGCTTAGAGAAGGAAACATTTCAGAGGGCAAGTCCATGGTGGGGAGCGTGGTCTGGGACAGTAGCTGTGGACTTAATTTGAGATCTGATCCACGATGACAGAGAGAGAAAGAAAGAAAGAGACTAGGAGGCCTGGTGTGGGCTTTTGAAACCTCAAAGCCCACTCACAGGGACACAAATTCTCCAAGAAGGCCACAGTTTCTTATCCTTCTGTGAAAGAGAATGGCCCACATAGGCTCATCGTCATCAGGGGGTGAACTATTTGGGGGAGGGTTAGGAAGTGTGGCCTTTGGAAGAGGTATGGCTTTGTTAGAATACTTGTGTTATTGGAGGTGGTGTGTTACTGAGGATGGGCTTTGAGATTTCAAAAACCCGCACCAGACTCTCTCTCTCTCTCTCTCTCTCTCTCTCTCTCTCTCTCTCTCTCTCTCTCTCCTCTCCTCTCCTCTCCTCTCCCTCCCTCCCTCCCTCCCTCCCTCTCTGCCTGCTGGCCAGGGTGTAAAGCTCTCAGCTACTTCTCCAGTTCCATACCTATCTGTTTTCTGCCATGATGATAATGGACTAACCCTCCAATCAAATGCTCCCTTTTATAAGAGTTGCTGAGGTCATGGTGTCTCTTCACAGCAATAGATCAGTGACTAAGACACCTTCCTAAATAGTCCACCAAGTGGGAACCCAACATCCAAATATATGAGACTTAGGGTTTCTGCTGCTGTGCAGAGACACCATGACCACAGCAACTCTTATGAAGGAAAACATTTAATCAGGGTGGCTTACAGTTTCAGAGGCTCAATCTACTATCATCATGGCAGGCAGTCTAGTACCGTGCTGGCAGACATGGTGCTGGAGAAGGAGCCCAGAGTTCTACTACAGGCAATAGGGAGTCATCTGGGACATTGGGCAGTATCCTGAGTAAAGGAGACCTCAAAGCCCGCCCCCACAGTGACGCATGCATTTCCTCTAACAAAGCCAAACCCACTCCAACAAAGCCAGGGCTTATAATAGCGCCACTCCCTGTGAGCATATGGGGGCCAATTACATTCAAACTACCACCCCTTCTACTAGGCTCGGTTTAAGGTACTGGGGGCTCCGGGTGCTTCTAGGTATCAACAAACTGTGTCTGGAAGGAAGAAAGGAGGAGGAGGGAGGGAGAACAGACACTTTACTGAGGTTAGAGCCTGGCTCCACATTAAGTCAATTAAAAAGATACAGAGAAAGGAAGTGAATCCAGTGTGGCCACGCTGGAGACGGAACAAGTCCAGTGATCTCCCAAGGTCAATATCTTTTTTCCCTCTATTTTTCTTGTGTAGACACACATGAAATGTGTGTGTGTGTGTGTGTGTGTGTGTGTGTGTGTGTGTGTGTGTGTGTGTGTACACATTTGTACATGTGGAGACTCTAGACTCAAGGTTGATGCCAGCAATCATCCTTGCTGGGCTGGTAGCATATACCTTTAGTGCCTTTAAAGAGAGGCAGAGGCAGGAAGCTCAGTGTTCTCTGAGTTCAAGGCCAGCTTGGTTTACAGAGAGAGTTCCAAGTCAGCCAGAGCTACAAAGTGAGACTATCTCCAAAAATAAAGAAAAGAAAAACAAAAAACAAAAACAAAAAACCAAGACCATCCTTGATGGCTTCCACTTCATTCATTGAGGCAAGGTCTCTAACCACACCCAATGACAGGGCTAGTCTCTCTAGCCACTTTGCTCTGGGGACCCCTGGCCCTGTCTTCCAGGGATGGACTTACAGGTGGGCTGCCTCACCTGGAGTGACACTGAGATGGGGTCTTGAGGCCCCAGACTCCCGCCTTCACACTTATCTGCAGAGCCTTCACCCCAGCATCCTCTTCCGGGTCTTAACGTGAGCTTTGGGCTTGAATAGAGGGGAGAGGCTTGGGCAACGCACCTCAGCTGGTGGCATCCTGCCCACCATCCTCGTCTGGCAAGGTAATCTGACAATTGTAACTGTGTGAAGTCTCTCCCTGGGAAACCAATTCCCCTCCAAGAGATGGCACTGGAGCTTCAGGCTTTTCTTTCCTCCAGCATGAGCTTCGGGGCAACTCTTATTTCATGGGAGTCCATTGTCTCTATGGTCTGATAGCTGAAAGATGGGGTGCTAGTGTCTCTTTAGAATATCCTCATTCCTACCAGAGGGGTTATAGGCAGGGGAGGGGAGGAAGGGAGGAAGAAGAGGAGCTGAGGGAGGGAGGGGGAGGGGGAGGGAGGAAGGGAGGAAGAAGAGGAGCTGAGGGAGGGAGGGGGAGGGGGAGGGGAGGAAGGGAGGAAGAAGAGGAGCTGAGGGACGGAGGGGGAGGGGGAGGGGAGGAACTGACAGTGACAGAAGGAAGAAGGTCTTCCCACCCTTCTCTGAAGCTCATCTTCCACACCAGGGCAATACGTCCGTCCCTACATGTGGCTCTAGTTCTGACAGATTCTCCGTGTCCTGTCTGGTTCCCCAGAGCCCAACTCCCCAGGGCAATTTTGGGACCAGTTGCTTCCTCGGCAGGCAGTGAGTCTGAATCTAAAGAGCCCCCAAGTGGACTCACAATTCAAGAAACATGTAAGAGCTAGGGTTTTGAAATGCCCCACACAGGCTCACATAGTTCCAGCAGGAGTGTGTGGAGTGTAGGGAAACTTTAGGGTTCACAACAGGGGCTGCTTGGGGTATGGAATCCATAGTTCACAGCTGCAGGGGGCGATTAGGGAATCTTTAGGGTTCACATCAGGTGGTGCTTGGGGATTTGGAATCCACAGTTCACAGCTGCAGGGGGGCGGTTAGGGAATCTTTAGGGTTCACATCAGGTGGTGCTTGGGGATTTGGAATCCATAGTTCACAGCTGCAGGGGGGGCGGTTAGGGAATCTTTAGGGGTCACAGCAGGTGGTGCTGGGGTATGAATCCATAGTTCACAGCTGCAGGGGGCGGTTAGGGAATCTTTAGGGGTCACAGCAGGGGGTGCTGGGGTATGAATCCATAGTTCACAGCTGCGGGGGGGGGGTGTTAGGGAATCTTTAGGGGTCACAGCAGGGGGTGCTGGGACATACAGAATCTTTAAGAGTCACAGAAGTTGGGCCCTGCTTCTAAATCCGTCTTTCCCTCCTGTCTGCCTCCACGGTGTGGCGAGCACCTCATTCTCCTGTTGTGCCTTTGCTATCAAACAGACCAACATCGCCAGTAAACCTTTCCACCCTTCAGATGATTCTGTCATAGCAATAAGAAAAGTAATGTACAGGCTCACAGACTCGCCTCCCTCTGTAGAGAGGCAGAGACAGAGGAAGACCATTGTTCTGGCGTGCGGGCGCTTAGGAAGGAAAGTGAAGCAGCCGGATCTCTGCGCCCCGCAGTCTCTAGTCCTGGGGAACGATCACTGCTCAGTCCACTTGAGTGTGTGCTCACACTGTCAGACCATGTGAACAGGCGGGAATATTCATGGAGAACACGGCATTCATGGAAACAGAGTAATCGGCTTGAAGAATAATAATAATGCTTGAAAAATAAGAAAGAGAACTTGTGAGTTAAAAATATCAAGAAGAATGGGGTTGGGGAGATGGCACATGGTTAAGAGCATTTCTGCTCTTGCAGAGACCCAGGCTCAGTTTCCAGAACCCACATGGCAGTTTATAACCATCTGTAACTCCAGTTCCAGGGGTTTAGGCGTCCTCTTCTGGTCTCTAGAAGTACTGTACACACACACACACACACACACACACACACTCAGTGCACTTACATAAAGGCAGAACACACGCTTAAACAGAAATCTCTTTTTAAAACAAAGAATGAAAACAGGAAAGGGCTGGGGGTGTGGCTCAGTTGGTAGAGTGCTTGCCTACTGTGCTCTGCGTGAAGCCGTGAGTTCCATCCCCATCACCACAGAAACCAGGTGATGACAGAAGTCTGAAAATCCAGCACTAGGGAGACGGAGAGGATTAGAAGATCAAGACCACCCTTGGCTACATATCAAACTTGAGGTCAGCCTGGGCTACATGAGACCTTGTCTCCAAAAGGAAAATGACAAAAAGATAATAGAGGGGATGAAAAAAATCACACGCAGAGGTTTCTAGAAGCCAGAATACAATGGACAAAGAGACAAACAATAGGAAAGAACAGTTATGAAAACAGAAAGAATTTCTAAGAAGCAAGGCTCGTGCAGCTATGATGGGGTTACATACAGCAGGGGGGATTATGATGTGCCCACACTGAAGGGAATCACGTTCCCCGGAACTGGGGAGGGAAGGTTTGAAACAAAGGCTCTGGAGAGTCTAGTCAGGACACAGGCAGCCAAGAGGTTGCAGTGATGGAGTGAACTTCTCCTGGGAGCTGGGGTGGCATGTGCGTGTGGAGCCAGGATTGGGGTGCCATTCATAAAGACTTGAGAATCAGATGGCCTCGGCCACATGGAGGGACCTTACTTTTCTTCTTTATAGCGGTTTCTGGAGATTATCCTTATTTCCCCTGCCCTCCCGGAGCTGGGTCCTCTCCTTTGGCGGGAGTCAGGCCCCCTTCTTCCAACCTCTCTCATACACACACACCTACCAGTCTCTCAGAGTCTCTGAGCCCTGAGCCAAGCAAGCTGGAGAATCTCCCTGTCCCCAGCCCTGGAGATTCCCACCAGTCTGACTGTCGGTCCCTGTGGTTACTGCAGAGTCCACGTGACGACCGTATGAGACAGATGTTTCCTGCCCCCAGGGGCCTGAGTGTCCCCGAGGAGGCCACTCAGAACTTACATCTGCCAGGCCATGGGCTGCTACCTGCTGCTGCTGCTGCTGCTCCTGGGACTGGCAGGTAAGGCGCAGATGGGGCCACATCTCCTCCCCCAGCCGTAAGCACCACAGACGCCATAGCTGCCCCCATCCCCACGTCTCTACGCCAGGGGGTGGGCTGGGAACCATGGCTGCTTCTGTCCAGCCCTTTCTCCCACCTCTCTTCCTTCCCCAGGTCAGGGCTCAGCTGCCAGCCATCCCGAGGTGCTACAGGCACCCGTGGGGTCATCCATTCAGGTGCAGTGTCACTACAGGCTCCAGGATGTGAGGGCACGGAAGGTGTGGTGCCGGTTCTCGCAGGAAGCCTGCCGGCCACTGGTGACCTCAGCTGTGGACCGAAGATACCCAGGAAGTGGGCGCATATTCCTCACTGATCTGGGTGGGGGGCTCCTGCAGGTGGCTATGGTGACCCTGCAGGAGGAGGACACCGGGGAGTATGGCTGCGTGGTGGAGGGAGCCGCGGGGCCCCAGACCCTGCATCGGGTCTCCCTGCTGGTGCTCCCCCAAGGTGAGTGTCCTCAGAAGATGACCTGTGGCCGGCACTCTTGGGGACTTGAGGTAGCGAGCATTGGGGTGAGGTATCTTTTTTGACAGCTGTGTGGGACTGAGTGGCAACGGAACTGTTCGGGAAGCTGAAGATAAGCTGTTTCGCGGGCAGCCCCTATCCTTTCCCTCACAGTGGCTTCCTGTCATAGCATCGCTGTATCTTTCTTTTACTGTAAGTGGATTTCAAGCGCATTAACAGAAATTAATTTTTGAGCCTTCCTGTGTGTGTGTGTGTGTATGAGTGTGTGGGTGTATTGTACATACACAAGTACATGAATATACACAAGTGCGTGGGTTATTGAATATATACAGGTGTGTGGGTGTATTGTATATACACGGGTGTGTGGGTGTATTGTATATACACGAGTGCGTGGGTATATTGTATGTATATACACGGGTGTGTGGGTGTATTATATATACATGAATGTGTGGGTGTATTGTATATACACAGGTGCGTGGGTGTATTATATATACATGAATGTGTGGGTGGGTGTATTATATATACATGAATGTGTGGGTGGGTATATTGTATATACACGAGTGTGTGGGTGTATTGTATATACAGGTGTGTGGGTGTATTGTATATACACGGGTGTGTGGGTGTATTATATATACATGAATGTGTGGGTGTATTATATATACATGAATGTGTGGGTGTATTATATATACATGAATGTGTGGGTGTATTGTATATACACGAGTGTGTGGGTGTATTGTATATACACGGGTGTGTGGGTGTATTATATATACATGAATGTGTGTGTGGGTGTATTGTATATACACAGGTGTGTGGGTGTATTATATATACATGAATGTGTGTGTGGGTGTATTGTATATACACGAGTGTGTGGGTGTATTGTATATACAGGTGCGTGGGTGTATTGTATATACACGGGTGTGTGGGTGTATTATATATACATGAATGTGTGGGTGTATTATATATACATGAATGTGTGGGTGTATTACATATACATGAATGTGTGGGTGTATTGTATATACACGAGTGTGTGGGTGTATTGTATATACACGAGTGTGTGGGTGTATTATATATACATGAGTGTGTGGGTGTATGATATATACATGAATGTGTGGGTGTATTATATATACATGAATGTGTGGGTGTATTGTATATACACGGGTGTGTGGGTGTATTACATATACATGAATGTGTGGGTGGGTGTATTGTATATACACGAGTGTGTGGGTATATTGTATGTATATACACGGGTGTGTGGGTGTATTACATACACATGAATGTGTGTGTGGGTGTATTGTATATACACGAGTGTGTGGGTATATTGTATGTATATACACGGGTGTGTGGGTGTATTATATATACATGAATGTGTGGGTGGGTGTATTGTATATACACGAGTGTGTGGGTATATTGTATGTATATACACGGGTGCGTGGGTGTATTGTATATACATGAATGTGTGTGTGGGTGTATTGTATATACACAAGTGTGTCGAGTGTGTGCACATGTACCACCTATACAGTCCCATAGGATGTCCAGTTCTGTCATTCTCCTCGGTATTACTTTGAGACGGGGTCTCTCGCTCATTGTTTTGGATAGACTGGCTGGCCAGGTAGGGATTTGTCTATCTCTAGTCCCCAGCACAGTTTCACAGAATTTTTACATGAGTATTGGGGATTTGAACTCAAGACCTCATGCTTGCTCACTGAGCTATTTCCTCAGCCCTGCCTTCCTTTGACAATTTAAAGTTTATCTTAACAGAGTTTGAGTCTTCCCTGAGCGTTAAGTGAGGGCCTGACCTATAGATGGGATCCTGTGGTTCCTGGATTGGACTTTAACTTATTCAGGATTTGTTTGCTTTTTCAGAAATCTCACACTGTAGCCCAGACTCGTCTGGGACCCATTTATGTAGCCTAGGTTGGCCTCAAACTCATGATCCTCTTGCCTCAGCTGAATATAGGGATTATGGGTGTATAATGCTGTGCCTGATTCCACTCAGTTTTAAATTGGGGAGAGGGGATTTCCAAAAAAAAAATTTAAATTAAAAATTTTAAAATATTTAAACCTGCTATTTATCCATTATTATTAAGTGCATTAATGTTTAACTCCCTGAGAAATCTTAATTTCAAAAGCACATTGCTTTTCAGGTTTTATTCTCATAGATCACATCTTTCTAGGCATTTATTAAAGTAAAAATGTAATTTAAAATAGGGTGCTAGCAGTCTGGAGAGGTGGCTTAGTGGTTAAAAGCACTGGCTGCTCTTCCAGGACCTGGGTTCGATTCCCAGCACCCACACACCAGCTCACAGCCTCCTAAAACTCCAGTTCTCACAGCCTCCTAAAACTCCAGTTTCAGGGGATCTGATGTCCTCTTCTGGCCTCCTTGGGCGCCAGGCACACACATAGTGTACACACATATGCAGGCAAAGCATGCACACATAAAATAAATAATATAAAATTAATTTAAAATTCTGGTGCTCAAAAAAAAAAAAAAAAAAAAAAAAACTGCCCTGCAAGGAGAATTCTGGAGATGGCTGGCTGGTGGCTTTTATCTTGGTGAGCTGTAACTTGTATCTGATCCCCTGATGACAAAATTAAAGTCCTTCTCATTCCTTTGGTTTTCCTGGATCTATGAGGATTGTCACTGAAGTCCCCTCATTATCGAACCACAACTATTACTTAAAATTTTGCATTCATTTCTTATTGTGTGTATGCCTGGGCATGTCATTGTGCATGTGTAGAAGTCAGAGGACAATTGGTGAGAGTTGATTCTCTCCTTCACCATGTGGTTCTGGGGATGAAACTCATCGTCAGTCATGGTGGTAAGCCCCTTTACTTGCTGAGCCATCTTGCAGGCCCATGGCTACACAGTAAGTAGATGCCGGCTAACATGAGTCCTTAGGATTCCTCATCCTTGACATGCTGAGGTCTCCTAACTCTGAGTTTTGTTTTGTTTTATGTTTTTGCTCTTTTTGATGCATCTGTGGTCTTTATAGATGTTCGTGTAGAAATGTGCATACATGGAGGACAAAGGTCAGTGATGGGTGTTTTACTCCCCACCTTATTCTTGGAGACGAGGTCTCTCAGTGAACCCAGATCTGTGCTAGGCTGGCTGATCAGTGAGTTACAGGGATGCTCCTGTCCCTAGTGCTGGGGTCACAGGTATGCATTCTATTCCTGGCTTGTACACAGTACTAGGAACCAAGTTCAGGGCTTCATGCTTCCATGGTAGGCCCTTTACCCACTGAGACACCTCAGTAGAGACACGGTCTACATGACCTTGGCTAACCTGGAACTCACAACATACACCATGAAGGCCTTAAACTTGAAAAGATCCTCTGCCTCCCATGGTGTGTTCCACCGTGCCTGGGGAAACTTCAGGCTCTAACTCGGCAAAAGACAGATTGTGACCAGACGCATCTAGCTGGGAAGATGGGAGAGGGGAAGAGAGAGCAGGTACTTGGAGCCCCTCTCACTGCAGTGGGGCAGATGCTGCATGGAGGGGATGCAGGTGGGTAGAGTATGGTGTCCAGGGAGGGGATGGCCTGTCCCTCGGGCAAGCATTCAGTTTCAGAGCGCAGCTTCGTTAGTTTTCTGTTGGTGTGATGAGACACCAACTTACAGAAGAAAGAGTTTATTGGGGGCTTACAATTCCAGATAGGGTACATGACCATCACAGTGGGGAGCTTGGCAGTGGGCGGGCAGGCGGGCACCGGATCAATGGCTGAGAGCTCATGTCCTGATCCACAGACACAAGGCAGAGAGAGGAGGGGACAGTGAGGATGGCATGGACTTCTGAAAGCTCAAACCCCGCCCCCAGCAACACCCTCCCCAGTCCTGCAGCCAAAGCTGAATACACCATAGGAATGACAGAAACCTCACCACATTGGAGTCTAGGTACTAGTTAGGCTCTCAAAAAGTCACTGAGTGTTGCCTCCCATTAGTGCTAAGCCAGAACCCCTGCAAAGCTCAGGGGCAGAGCCTGGGATGGGATCCTTCCTAATCAGCCTGAAGATGGGGCCACAGGGGGCTACAGGTACATAGGAGGAAGCCCTCATTGAAGAGCAAGGTTGGTGTTGTGATTGACCGCAAGGTAATCTGTTTGAGATGGGCAGGTGATACAAGCATGCATACAGTGATGGTGAGAGATTTGCAGGCATTCTAGGGTGTGGCTGGAGCTGGCAGAGAGGAAGAAACACAGGGGGCGGTGGCTGGGGGAAATGGTTCACAGCCAGGCAGAGGTACAGAGTAGGAGCCATTCTCCAAGGCAACGAATGAAGGATGGGGCGTTCCCAGTCTGCCTGCCCTCCTGGGGAGTCTCACTTTCCTTAGTCTCAGTTCGGCAGACCTTGACCGGCCACGAAAGCTGCTCCAGGATGGCTAGACCCTCACCACATGTTTCCTTCTGGCTCAGTTCCTGGCCCAGGAGAAGAGAAGGAAGTAGAGGAAAAGACGGAAAGCTATAGGACCGGAAGTCTGCCAAAGGAGCCCTCCCTGGACCCTGCGGGGAGCGCTAGTCCCCACGAGTTCCGAAGGCATGGGAACAGGTGCCGGAAACTGCGCTGTGGGAGGCCAGGGGACCTGGGATCTAAACATACAACAGGTTTCGAGCTGTGGACGGAACCAGATGGAGGGCTGGAGAGATGGCTCTGCAGTCCAGAGTATCTGTTCGTGCAGAGGGCAGAATCCTGTTCCAGCAGTTCCCAACTCGAGCCCCAGGGGATCTGAAGCTCTCTTTAGGCCCATGGAGTTATTTGCACGCATGTGCATATGTGATCTCACTTACACACACAAATTTTAAAAATCGTCTCGAATCAAATACACTGCTACCTCATTCCACTGTGGGGGAGAACTTCTCGTCAGCAGAGAGACCGACCCCTACCCATTTCACCATCTGCCCCTTCACTGGTAGATCTCCAACAAAGACATTAGGAAAATGTGCCTCTCCTGTCCCCGATCTGGGCCTAATTCTTGGCCGGCAGCTGCCCTCAGGGCTTAGTGCTAAGCCAGTCTGTCCCTTTCTGTCTTTCAGTGTGCCCCTGATCTGGGGTGCCATACTTCTGCTGGGCCTGCTGGTGGTTGCTGTTGTCCTGTTTGCTGTGATGGCCAGAAGGAAAGGTATGGAGCCATCCACCTCCTCTGGTGGCTCAGTTCTGAAGGCAAGGCCAGGAGACTGGGTGTGTTTCCCACGTGAAAAATCTCACCATTCTTTAGCAGAGTCCCTACATGCTGGAATCCCAGTGGCTGACGGGCGATCAGGAAAGCCAGCCCGGCTAGGGCAGGCCCGGGGAGGAGCAGTGACTGGAGGGGAAGGATTGGAAGAAGGAAAGAGCTCCAGGGGGAGGCTTAGGGTTGAGGCAGCCAGAGAAGCAGAGGGCGGCAGGGACAAGGCGGGCTTGTGGGTGGAGGGCTCGGGCTTAGAGAGAGGGAAGTGAGTCTGCACTAACAAAGCTTTTGGAGACGTTGGGATGCTTGGAGCCACACTATAAGCAACAGCACTGCTGTGCTCTGTTGCCAGGGAGCAGGTTTGGTGTCTGCGGCCGGTCCCAGTGCAGTGGAGCTTCAGGCATGGTAAGAGACCTCTGCAGATTCCCCTCACCCACCACACGACTGGGTAGGTGGAGAAAAGACAGGCCCATTATACTCCAGACCCTCGCCTGTCTATCTGGGAATACCTGGGGGCTGGCCTACAACTTACTATGTAAACCAGGCTGGCCTCAAGGAGATCCACTTGCCTCTTTTTCCCCCGAGTGCTGGGGTTAGAAGTGTGCGCCATGACTCCCAGGATTTTGTTGTCGTTGTTTTGTTTTTTGGGCAGGATCTCACTAGGTAGTCCTGTCCAGCCTGGAACTCACTATGTAGACCAGGCTGAACTTGAACTCAAGTTCTGGGACTCTGTGTGTGTGTGTGTGTGTGTGTGTGGCACGCACCACCATCCCTGGCCAATGGAATGTCCTTTGACACACTGGGATTGTTGTAGCAGGTCCATCCGGCCTCTGGGTTCCCATCAGAGGGAACTCTGGAGAGTGCTTTTGTGTGATTTACCTGCTTTTATTCCAGGAACCCTCCTCGGCAGCCCACCACAGCAGTGACTCAGGACTGGCTGCCGGGCTGCCCACCGACATACCATATGTGAGGCTAGACTCACCGCCTGCCTTTGACACCACCTACCCAGGCTTCCCTCTTGATCCTCCAACAAGGAAACCCCCAGCCCCGCCCCTACAGCCCCCTCTGCCTCCTAAGGTTCTGGTGCTACCCAAGCCTGCGACTTATGCCACAGTGGTCTTCCCAGGAGGGGACAAAGGCGAAGGGGCCTCCCGTGAGGCCTCTGGGGAATCTCCCAACAGTGAACCCCCACCCAGCTAACTAATACACCTCCCTTTGTACTCCCGGGATCACCCTTGGGGCATTCTCTGTAGCTATCCAACACACCCAGGGTATGTGAGCAAATGGTGGCTTGGGGACCCCGCTTAGGATCTCGGCTTGGTGCACATGGGAAGTGGTGCTCAGATGTGATTGAGGTGTTTGGAGAAGAACTCTGCCCGCCACTTCTTGGTTCTGGTTCTGCTGCCATTACGTACTAGGCTAAATAAACCCTGATGATGTGTGAACTCTGTGTGTGTGTGTGTGTGTGCGTGTGTGTGATGGATGGACAATTGTAATAGAGTCCACGAAAGCCCAGATAAAGGGGAGTCAGGCATTTATTGGGGAATCACTCACAAATGACAAAGTAAGGTAGAGTACCATTGAGGTTCTGACCTCCCCCAAGAGAGTGTCAGCTCGTTCCCAGTCTGCACGTGACCTCTGAGACTACACCCTGAAGGGGCTAGTACCTCAAGACTATTGTCTGAAAGAATTCCCACAACAAATGTGTATGTGAGCCCGCGTGTGTGTGTGTGTGTGTGAGTATGCACGTGTGTGCGACACGTGTATGTGAGTGTGCATATGCGTTTTGAGTGTACATGTGTGTGAGTGTGCATGTGAGTGAGTATGCATTGTGTATGAGTGTGTGTGTGTATGAGTGTGCATGTGTGTATGTATGCACCCAGAGGTCAATGGTACTCTCCTTACTTTTTGGGAAAAGGTCTTTGAGTGACTCTGGGCTAGTTGACCATAGAGTCCCAAGGATCCTCATATTTCTACCTTCTCGGAGCTTGGATTACTGGCACCTGCTGTGGCGCCCAGCGTTTTTATCTGGATGTTGAGAAATTGAACTCAAGTCCTCAGGTTTACACAGCAAATATCATTTATGGATCCAGCATTTTCCCTAGCCCCAATGGTTGAGTGGACGAGACAAAGCCTGTTTCACCAGTCACCTGGTTTATGAACTAGAAAGAGTGGTCCTGAGCCTGCATTGCCAGTGGGGAAGTGGCTTCTCCTCTGGTCAGACCACTGAAGGACAGCGGGATCAGAAGGTCTTGCTTCAAATTACTTCCTGCCCCCCTTATGATGCCGGAAGGTGCAGATTCATCCTTGAGTCTAGGAAGCTCTTCTGCTCTATACCTTTTGAGCAGTGACCTGTGATCAATGACAGGACTTGGTGGGTTGTCAGGTATGAAGGGTGCGAGGTGGGGTTGGGGAAGTGGGCAGTTACTGATAAGTTAACGGAGACTCAGGACAGAGGCAGGGTGGGAGTTAAAACCAGAAAGAAACAGGAAGGCATACAGGACGGAAACCCACCGCATTCCCACTCAGGGGGCACACAGCATCTTCAAGCCACTGGGGAATGAAAGAGCTTCTCAGAGGCTAGTCTCACCAAAGCTGGGGTTCCCAGGTAGGCAGCCACATAGCTGCTCTGTTTGCCCTGGGAAGAGCCCAGTGAAGAAAAGGTACCACAGAGGGATGAGGGGCGTGGCTACAGTCAAGTGTAAGTGAAAGGGGAGCGTGGGCTGGAAGTAGAAGGATGTCTAATGTTCCTGAGGAATTTCTTCTGAAACTGACTGGAAAAGATTTGCTCTTACTGGGACAAGAGATTCAATGGAGGGGGGATGAAGGCTTGGGGCTCCAGTACCGTGACAATGACAGGGTACAGATAAAAAGAGCCATAAGTTTGACCTAGGCACCTCAGAAGAGAGCCAATGGCAGTAGGCTATGTTAGCTGCCCTGAGCATCTCAAGCTGTGATCTCAGGAGAAATGGCTCCGTGCACAAGCATTTGCCATGCAAGCATGAGGATTAGTGTTTGGAACCTCAGAGCCCATGCTGGATGGCACGGCATCCCCGTGTAATTCCAGGCTTAGAAGGTGGAGACAGGATCCTCAGAGCCAGCTGGCTATCAAGGCTAGCCATGTTGGTGAGCCTCCGATGAATACGGTGGAAGGATGATGGAAGGTGGTTTTTTATGTCAATCCCAGGCCTCTGTATGCATGCACACACCGGCACATACATGTGAATGAGTACCCCCTAGCAACACAGTACACGATAGTATGCTTGCTGCTTCCTTTGTGACTGGGGGGCTGACTGGGAGCTAGGGGCCCAGCATTCTGACCGCCTTGTGCATTCTACTAGCCTGAGCAAGAACCAAGCTTCAAAATCCTCAGTACAGTTTGTAAAAGATACAGAGCACAGTGGAAAATCATAAGACGGACCACCATAGCCACTGTCTGAAAATTCCAGCCTTGTTCACAGTACCCAGATCACAAACACAGCTAGCTACTTAAAAAGTCGGTACTTGGAAACGTAAAGGAACGTGAAGGAGGAGGCTGGGACACAGTGGGTGAGGAGAAGGCAGGAAAGTGTGTGTGTGGGGGAATGGAGGGATGGGGGTGGGGTGGGGGTGGGGGAATGGAGGGATGGGGGTGAGGTGGGGGAATGGAGGGATGGGGTGGGGGTGGGGGAATGGAGGGATGGGGTGGGGTGGGGGAATGGAGGGATGGGGTGGGGGGGTGGGGGAATGGAGGGATGGGGTGGGGTGGGGGAATGGAGGGATGGGGTGGGGTGGGGGAATGGAGGGATGGGGTGGGGTGGGGTGGGGGGAATGGAGGGATGGGGTGGGGGTGGGGGGTGGGGGAATGGAGGGATGGGGTGGGGTGGGGGGAATGGAGGGATGGGGGTGGGGTGGGGGAATGGAGGGATGGGGTGGGGTGGGGGGAATGGAGGGATGGGGTGGGGGTGGGGGGTGGGGGAATGGAGGGATGGGGTGGGGTGGGGGGAATGGAGGGATGGGGGTGGGGTGGGGGGAATGGAGGGATGGGGTGGGGTGGGGGGAATGGAGGGATGGGGGTGGGGTGGGGGGAATGGAGGGATGGGGTGGGGGTGGGGTGGGGGGATGGGGCATGGGGAGTAGATAGAGAAGGATAATTGTGGCAAGTGCCTGGGAAACCAGTATGTGTGGATATGCCGGTTAGACATCACGTGATAGACGAAGTTCTCCCTCCCTTCCTTGAGGCTGTCCTCATGATCATGGAGAGGGTCTAGGGTAGCTTCTCACAGGCTAGGTCCTATAAATACAGGTAGAGTGTAGCGGTTAAGAGCATAAACTCTCAAGTGAATCTAAGTAGAATCCAAGATCTGCACTGTGGCTGTGCGTCCCATGTAAACTTTTACACTTCCATATTTCTGGGTGCAGAGTATGTCTATACTCCCGTGACCCTGGACAATCACAAGAGGAGCCCCGCAGTCAGGAACTGTCTGCCTTCCAACTGTGAATTCTCAGTTCCAAGTTGTCCATGAATTTAACACCTGCTTCACAAAAGGTGAATGCATGCCTTATGATAGACACTACGGCTTCCTTAAATCTCTTCAAACCTAACATTTCTATAAGATCCCGGTTAACTTCCCAATAGCCTTGGCGGTGCCTGTCATCTGCTGGTTGTTCTTGAATGGTAACTGGGTAAATTACGGTTGGTTTTCTAATAACTTTGGACCATTTATTCCTCTTTGGTTTCATAATGAATGGTGAGGTAGGTTCAGCTCTAAACTCTGCTGTCTGTGTGTGGATATTTTTCTTAGTGTCAGTAGTAGGTCTTTATAAAGATTGTATCTTATCAGTCATTTTTTTTTGTATTTGGCACCAATATCAAACCACATTTTAAAGGATGAAACATGAATCACCAAACTGATGATTATAATCAACACCATGTCAATCCCAGCTAATTTGATCATCCTTCATACAATTTTTTTTTCAGTTTCAAACCGTTTATTGTGAAACCATACAGAGACCTAACTCACTGCATTGCAATATTGTTCCCTATTCTTAACATGGGGGGAGTGTTGTTTTTTTTAATTCCCCCTTTAAGAGTTCCCAGGTGTCTCACCAGATCTGCCCACCGTGACAATGAGGTGTGAGTGAGGTGGGCCATTGTTGCGCCCATGACTGGGCAGAGAACTCAGGTGGTACATGCATGGTCTGGTCAAGGGCAGCGCCATTGCTCTTGTGTAGCTGAGTGCTGAGAGTATGCAGCGGCGGTGGCGGCGGCATTAAAAGCCTGAGTGGTGTCAAGGCCAACGGCATGGCAATGGTCCAAGGACGGCATCCAGGGGAAGCCTGCAACCACAGGGCGAGACAGCCAGCTGCCTGAAAAGTGGATACAGGGATGTGCAGAAGGCACCTGCATGGCAGAAAGTGAGGGCTCGGAGCTGGAGAGAGGCTGTAATGGGAAATCCTCAGACTCACGTGGAGGGCCTGAGGATATGGAGGGAAAGCCAGCTGCAGTGGTAACTCCAGTGGCTGCAAAGTCAGCAGAGAGCAACTGCCTTGGATGTCATGACCCATGTTGGATGCCAAATGAAGTATTTATCTTCTCATTCTTTTATCAACAAAAACTCAGGAGTCAGATACCAGGGGAAACACCTGATTGATGTGATTATGATTTATTAAAACTTGCCTGAGGATACAGGAAGCAAAGTCAGCCACAACCCATAGAAGCCAGGCACACACCTTTAATCCCAGCAGCCAGAAGCTAGGAGGTGGTGGTGGTACACACCTTTAATCCTAGGACTCGGGATTAAGAGGTAGATGGATCTCTGTGAGTCCAAGACCACCCAGGTCTACACAAGATTGATCCAGTCCTAAGTAGACATGGGTCTTTAATCCCAGCACTACAGGGTATAAAAGATAGGAGCAGGATCTTCAATAGTCAGTATCGGGGATTCGTTCTCCAGTCACACTGATGACAGGAAGACACTGAAGTCTCAGGATTCTCTAGCCACACTGAGGAGAGGTTACATACAGTCTGAGGGTTGGTGAAGCCAGGGTCGCCTTTCATTCTGAGGTAGAGTAAGAGCTAGTGGCCGGCTGCTTTGCTTTTCTGATCTTCAGCATGAAGCTTGGATCTTTGATTTTCTGTGCTACAGGAGAAATGGCAGAGGAGTGGCCAGTGACCTCCTGTCTCTCTCCTTCCTCGATCCAAAAGGGCTGAAAATTTTTACAAGCCCCTCCCTACTTCCGCTGACTTTCTATCTGTCCTCAGTCCTCCAAAACCTTTATGGCTGATTTTGGCCAGCTAGGAGCTAGCTCCACCTTCTGATTCAAAGTAAACTTTATTGTCAAGTCTCAGGAGTGTCATGGTGTGATCAAAACAAGTACCATTCCCTACGAGTTAGTGGGGACCATTTCCATTCAAACCACTACACCAGCCATGGCTCTTTAACAACACGATGACGTATGGGTC